GCGCCAGCCCGTCGAGCAACGCCCGCGCCACGCCCTTCGCGTGCACCTCCGCAGCCACCGCCGCGCCGCCAGCGTCCGCGGCGACGAGCGCGGCCAGCAGGTGCAGCGCGACGGCCTGGCCGGTGCCGCCGCGGGCGGCGGGGGCGAGGGCGTCCTGGGAGAGCAGGGAGACGAGGGCGCCGCGTCGGGCGCGCAGCTCGGCGGCGTTGCCGCGCTCGAGCTCGCCCTGAGGGGGGAGGGGCGGGGGGCGTGGGGTGTGTGGCAGGAGAGGGGTCATAAGCAGCGAAGGGGGGTGGGCATACGCAGGCGTGCGTGTGTGTGGTGGTGTGTGTGTGTGTGTGTGTTTGTGTGTGTGTGTGTGTGTGTATGTGTGTGGGGGGGGGGGGCAGGCAGCTGGGGGCTCGGCGCCTCCGGCGCGTGCACGGCCGAGCCCCCACCCATGACTCTTGCGACCAGCATTTCACCGTCCGCACGCCCCACTCTATCAGCCCCACCCCTCCTTCCCCGCCGTGCCGCCCAAGCCGGCGCGTCACAGCCTGCCTCCCGTCCATGCATCTCATGCTGCGCCCCACCTGCAGCACGTCCAGCTGTGCGGCGGTCACCCCCGGCCCCAGCCCCTCCAGCAGCCGCTCCAGCACCAGGGGGGGCGTGTCCCCCAGCTTCGAGCCCCTGTAAACGGGTGCATTAATTCAGGGGGGGAGCGTCCACATTTGCAGGAGGGTGAGTGCTGCCAAGGGGTAGTATCGCATGCGACAAGAGCAAAGGCCCCAAACACCGGGCATATGAACTTTTCCCCCGCCGAAACCCGATTCCACTGGCGGGAACCCTCTGCCGTCAAAGCTGACACGCAGAAATACGACATCTCTCACGACCTCAGTCACAATCTCAGCCATGACGTCAGTCACAGTCACATCCACATCCACAATCACACGGTCGCAATCGACACGACACAATGACAATCACGCCAGCACTACAAACCCCCATGCTCGAAACCGTCCCGCCTTCCCCGGCACGCGCCTGCAGAAGTGGAGGTAGGCCAGCAGCGCCGCGTACATCTCGCAGCGCAGCGCCTTGCTGCTCAGGCCCGCCGCGCGGCCCAGCACGTCCAGCAGCAGACGCAGAACCTCAAGGCAGCGCGCGGGCAGGCGGACCTAGGCGGGCCGGCGGCGTGCAGTGAGGCGCAGGTGCGCGGTGAGGCGTTGGGAGGCGGGGCCGGGTGGGCCGGGGTGGTGCTGGGATCGAGGCGGTCACGGGATGGAGGCAGCCGCGCGCCCCTGCTGCATGAAGTGTGGGTCACAAATCAGCGCGAGCCCGTGGCGGAACACATATATGCAGCAAGATGGACAGGTGGTCAGAGAAACAGGAAGCATCTCAGAATCAAATATGCCGGGGTTCGCCGGCCATGAAGGAGGTGGGGAAGAGAGAAGTTTAGGAGGGGTGTGGAGGGTTGGAAAGTGGGGAGGAGGTCGTTGTGGGGGGCAGCGCGCACCTGTGCCAGGGGGTCTGAGGGCAGGCCCGCGCCAAGGCCCAGTGAGGCCAGCTCCCGCAGCTTTGAGAGGATGACCCTGGGGCAGCCCGCCAGAGCCTCGGAAAGGCGCACAGACTGGCGGGTGGACAGCTCCTACAGGGAAAAAGTGTGTGTGTGTGTGTGCGTGTGTGTGTGTGTGTGTGTGTGTGTGTGTGTGTGTGTGTGTGCGAGTGTGCTGACTCACACGTGTATGTGCGCGCGCTTTCCCGTTTGTGTGTGTGTGTGTGTGTGTGTGTTTATAGTGTTGAAGCGAGGGCGCAAGCATGCCACTGCGGCCTCACAGAGTTGGTGTGAGGTGCGCGTTGGCAGAATCACAAGTCCAAATGTGGTGGCCATGTCCAATAAGAGGCGCCAACAACAGTGTGCAGTCAGGCCAACGGCCGCACCCAAAGGCACCAGCATGACCACCCGCCCGTCGCCGCGCGCCCAGCCCCCGCGCCCCCCACCTGCAGCGCCCCCAGCGCGCCGACCAGCGCCGACCGCAGCACCTCCGGCCCCCGCCCCGGCATGGTGGCCTCCACCAGGGGGTATGCTGACGTCAGCGCCACCTCGACCGCCTGGCGCCACGCTGACAGGGCCTTGTACTGCGCGCCGGCCACCAGGGCATACGCATTAACCTTTGAGGGGGGGGGTAGTGCGCGCTCGGTAGGGTAACTCCAACATGAGTGAGACGATGGGGCGAAGGCTGGGTGCGCGGCTGCTGTTCATTCGAAGCAGGATGGCGTCTGCTGCTGTGCTGTAAGACGATTCGATTGGTAAGCAAAGACGGAGCGTAACAGCACGAGTGAAGGTGTGGGAGTTGGGGCTGCCACCGTTACCCCGCACCCAAACCCCTCACCTGCTGCGCATACCGCAGCGCCGCCCGCACCGCCGCCGTCGCCGCCGCCTCCGCCGCGCCGCCGCGGCCGCCGTTGCGCGCGACGTAGTCGTCGAACCTCTCGTGCAGCGCCGCCGCGAGCGCGTTGAAGTCAAACACGGGTTGACCGGTCGCGTCGGTCGTGACGAGGCCGAGCTGCTCGATGACCTGGCAGTTGGCGGGTTGGTTGGCGGCTTAGCATGGCGGTTTGTGGTGCTTGCAAATTGGCAGGTGCAGAAATGGCGGAGGATGGCGCGGCAGGGCTCCAGGCCGTCGCGCGGCAGCTTGCGGCGGCACACGATGCAGGCAGGCAAAGAGGAGAGGGCAACCGCGTGGCGCTCGACAGGCGGGAAATTGGGATGAGAGGAAAGCGCGGTCGCCACTCTGAACGAGCTTGGCGGCACCCCTTTAAACGCTAGAGGAGCCAGCTCCACGCGCTCGCTCAGGCAGCGCATGGGCTGTGCAGATCCCGCCGACCCGCCAGCTCAGCGCGGCGAGTGCGGCGCTGCAGCGGCGCGCCTGTGTGATGGCGATCAGCAACCTTCCCTCCCAGATCAAGCAGGCGGCGACGGGGGCAGGCGAAAAAAAAACGGCGACAACAGATCGGCACGGCACGATCCGGCCGCTCCGGTCCGACCCCGCACCTGCGGCCCCGTCAGTAGCGCCCTCACGCTGACGTCAGCGACCGTCATTTCCTCCGCCACCCGCAGCTCCTCCGCCGGCAGGTCCTTTATGCTGGGCTCCGCCACGGCCACGCCCACCACCGCCGACAGCACCGCGGCCGCGGCGCCGCCCCCTCCGTCTTCCAAATACTGCTGCTGCTGCTGAACGCCAGCTAGGACTAGCGCCGTGCTGTCCGCGCCGCCCGCGGCTGCGCCGCCGGCAAAGAGAGTCTCGAGCAGCGGCGCGCGCACGTCGCGGCGGCGGCAGGAGAACAGCGCGAGCGCGTACCACCGCAGCACCGACGCCCGCTGCCGCAGCGCCGACACAACCGCGTGCACGCCGCCGGCCTCGCCCGCGCCGGCCAGCGGCGGGAGGGGCTGCGACAGCAGCGTCCCCAGCAGCGGCAGGAGACCCTCCGCGGGCTCTCCTGGCAGCAGCAGCTGCATGATGGGTTCTGCTGTGATAGGGTCTGATGCCAGGGCTAGCGCGAGCTGGAGGGCCTTGGCATACAGCCCGGGGCGCTGGGACGCCAGGCGGCCGACGTCCTGCGCGCGTGTGGTTGTGTTGTTGTTGTTGTTGTTGTTGTTGTTGTTGTTGTTGTTGTTGTTGTTGTTGTTGTTGTTGTTGTTGTTGTTGTTGTTGTTGTTGTTGTTGTTGTTGTTGTTGGTGTTGATGCTGTGCGCGCGCGTGTGTGTGTGTGTGTGTGTGTGTGTGTGTGTGTGTGTGTGTGTGAATTGAGTGTGTGTGACTTGTGTGTGTGTGCATGTGTGTATGTGTATGTGTATGTGCGTGTGCGTAAAATGTGTGTGTGTGTGTGTGTGTGTGTGTGTGTGTGCGCGCGCCGGTGTTGTGTACGCTCATACTTTCCAGCGCGCGTGTGGTCAGCGGCGGCTGGGGGACCAGGATTTGTGTGAACGTGGGG